ACAGGTTTAATTTAAATGCATATTGGCATGGTAATTTGTTTGACATGGCTTTTTGGATATGACACTTTGTTTTCTATTATATAATATTGAGGTAGAACTTACTGGAAAAATATTGATGTATCAAAATATGAAAATGGATCATCTTCACTAAAGCTATCATGATTTCAGTGAAAGTGTATATAGTTATTTATAAAGTCCTAATCCTCTAACTTGGTGAATTTAGACAATTTTCTTAGAAGGATTTTCTAATTTGGTGATATTAGAAGAGTTAATAATATGGAAGCTCCTTCACTAGTTTTCACTGAAGATGTATAAATCAAATATCAATACATAGCATTTTAAGTAAGGGTGCAAAATAAGGGAAACATTAATTTCCATTTCAGAATTGAAGATGGGGCTACTTCCAAATTGTTTTATATTATTCCACTTAGTTTATATAAGGGGAGGTGCTTTTTAAGTGGCAGCAGTGGCAGCATTCTTTTATGGGTGCCATAAAACTATGATTTTGCTCCCTTTAATGGGTAGTGATTGTTCTCTGTTGGAATTGGGAACTATATTTCAAGGTTATAGAAGCAACAAAATGATATAATATGTCTTATGAACTAAATAGTTTTCCATCCTTAAGTTTTTATGTATTGCACAGTGCTATCATTTAGAAGGTACTCCTTCTGTATAGCCCTGTCAAAGGATGAGATTTTTGCAGTAATGGAGTTTGTTGTCAATCAATTAGGCTGTTCTTATCAAATATCTAGCTATTTTAGCACTAAGTTTGAATAAGCTAGCGAATTGTTCCAAGGGTTCCTATCATTCAGGTTCAGTTGTCAAAGGGTTTAGTGAAAAATATGCTGCTTACATTGTTTAAATTATCCGTTATGTGTTGACAAAGGGAATGGATGCAAGTGTTTAGATTGCCATCTCTTGATATGTTTGTAAGAAGTTAACTTTCATAATTATGTTTAATAAGAAACCATTTTGGGTGCTGATATTTCACTTTATCTGAGTTCTTTTTCTCTCTTTTTGATGAGTTGCACTACAAATTTGATGCTTTCTGGCCATTTTTGAAGATAATGGATCTTTGCATTACCTGCAATAATATTTTATTTATCTGAAGCTGTAATATGCAGCAGAAGACCAAGGTATCTAAATATTTGCATTTCCTGCTTCATAACCGCTCTTCATATCAAGTATTTTTATTGTCAAAGACATCTCAAAGTTTAATAGAACCTTGAATGGATTATATTCTATTTGAAGATTTTGCTTTGCTGGCTCTTTTTAATTCATACATATAACACCACAAAGTGCAAATGTATTTGGTATTGCCTTTTTAAGAGGTTACTAATGGGGACACAACTCATGACAACAGGTGTTCAAGAAGATGACGATGAATTTCCATCAGTTTTAGCTCTCACTGAATAGGGGAAAGGCATTGAGAAACATAATGATGAAAATATTATTAGTTATTTAGTCTCCACAGGTGTTTCTAATTGTAAATTACTGTCAATTCTGGCGAAAATTGATGTTCAAGTTAGTGATTTTGCAAAGGTTACTAGGTCCTTTTGTTGAAGATGATGGATCAACCATAGACGGTATATGATAACAATTCAGAGGAAGACTTCGATTCTAAGTAGCTAGATCAAGTTAGTCTTGTAATATTCACAAGTGAGACTGTACATCTGGGTGGCATCTTATGCTTGATTGTTAATGCAGAATTTTTCCTTAGTACCTTGTCTTTCAAAGGGAGTTATCCGTGGATGTTCAGATTGGAGTAATTGCCAAAAGGTTGTACATTAGGATTTTAGCTAGAATTTCTAGTTAAGAAACATCACTTGCAAGAGTTACTTGTGTTATATCGTTCGTAGACTGACGGATTTCTTTTTGTATGCCAGCACAATTGTAATGCTTAGTAATGGTAAAGGACTTGTTTCTGTCATGTTCACATCATAAATTTCACCCTTACCAGCTTGCAATTTCTGATTTTTCTTGATCAGGAAAATTAATTCCTCGCTATTCGAACAAGATGTTGCCTAAAAGTATGTGTTTGTGAGCATTGTTCTTGGGTCAATGATTCTTTAGAAGCTTCACCCTGAAAGGGGGGAACTTGAGTGTTTGTTAGAATAATTTCTTCTATTTATTTTTTATACAAATAATTTCTCCAATTTTCAAGCTTTGTCGTCGTTATATCAAACCTTTTACTTAGTAGTAAGAGTCAAAAACCAAATTGTTTTCCTGTGCATTTCTTCAATGCCTCCACATTTGTAGCGCTTTCTTCTTTTCCTGTCATTCATCTCTCATTGTAGTTAATGAGCACTTTACCTATACTTTCTCACAGAAATAGGCCTAAGAAAAGGATGGGAGAATGACTTCAATAATTATGACTGTAACAGAAATAGGTTCATAGGTTGTGACAACTTTTTAACTTTTCCTAATGCCACCTCTTAAGATTAAAGAAAAGAAAAGGAAATTACCAATCTTAATAAACCCAAGAGAAGACTGACGTCACCCTATCCAAACGATACCTTGAAATTTGTACTTTTTTGCCCTAATTTTTTCACATGCAGAAATTTGTTTGACATGCTGATGGATTGGAATTTTCATAGATTTGTTATTTTCTTATATGAATTATTACACAAAGCTTATTAAAATTTGGATGAGAGCTGTATAATGCATGGACGACCTTCTTTCTACTTTAAACTTTTACCGCCTAATTCCACAAGATTAATTGTCAGCCTCTCATGCATGGCCTTATTTATGCATCTTAATTGCCTCTCTATTTTATCATAATACTATATTTTCTCATGTATTTTCGTTTGTACAATATAGGTAAATTTGATGCAATAATTTCCTTTTTTAATTAATCAAAGTAACTGATTATAAAATTATAGCTTCATTGTAAAAACAATAAGCATAGGCTTCGCATGCAAGCACGTGGGAGTATAAACTGTTTGTAATTAACAATGAAGAACAGTTCAGAACAAAACCAAGGATAGATATAAACAAGGTCAATGTTGGGGATTGTGCAACCAATCCACTTCAATTAAATATTATCTATCCTTGGTTTATTCCGTTATGGGAATTTATTAAATTACAATTAATGACCTGACATCTTTTGCAAGGAAGTATTAATTAATTAATTAATTAATGTATTTGAATTTCTTCATGAGTCATGCATCTCAAGAATCAATTGTGAAGCATTTATGTTTTTTTTTAATTAATGTAATTGTTGGTCATTATGCATTGTATATTTTTTGGAGTACTTTTATTGATTAGAAACAATAACTTATGCATATTTAATGATAATTATATTTACTGCTTCCCATGCATGGCATGGGTAGTTAGTGCTAGTTAGGTTAAGAAGAAGAATGTGAGAGGGATGCATTGTAAGATTGCCTGAGATTGAAATAAAGGAGAGAAATGGAGAAAAGCAGAAGAATTAAAAGAAAGAATACAATTAAGAATTTGCACCAACATACTTTTAAGAATACAATTATCATATGGGTAGAATATCAATCATCAACACAAGAAAAGAAAGACTGTGTACAATCCTCTATGTAAAAGAAACACATGTAACCACTAATTGTATGTAGAATACATTCTCTTTGAGGAAAGGATACATACTTTTTGAAGATTTCTAAACATATGTTGATGGAGCTTGATATGAGTAGAATATCAATCATCAATCAATACCTTAATCAAATTGTGTGAAAGACTCCTTGCCATCCCAATTCTGAATACTTCAGAGATTATGTAACCACTAATGAAATTAAAAGTGATAATTTTGAAATAAAATTACTATTTATTGTAAATAATTAATAAAAATAAATCCCCAAAATATAAAATATTTACCATTACAATGCACATGTTCGACTTTATTTACTAGACATAACATGATTAGATACTCCAAACATGACCTATATTTATAATTATATACTCCAAATATATAGATACATATATTTATCAGATTAACACTTGAAAATGAAGAATAGAATAAAATCTGTGTTTTAATATTTCAAAAGAAAAATCAGAATATCCGTACCATAATAAGCAAGGACAGACCTAGGAAAAAATGTGTGTAGGGTAGGTGGAAATCAGTCAAATCACCATTGTTCCTAACAATTAAAAAAACTAGTTTTAATAGTCCTTAAATAAATATGATACTGGGAGGTATAATAATTTTAAAATAAGTACAAAACACGACCACCAAAACGAACATAATGAAATTGATATTGTAAGACATACATTATGATTATGGTTTTTTACAATATTATTTAAGATTATATTCACTATTTCTTTATTGAACAAAATTATTGAATAAATTATTCTATGATCTCCTTCATTATAAAAATTTAAAACTTTGTCTCAATTTCCAATGCATCTATTTAGATTTTAAATAAATAAAACTTTTAAGAATAATTAATTGTGTGTGTATATGTATATTGTATACACTATATTTTATCCATACATTTAACAACAGTATAAAAATATTTGTTTGGCCCTTTAATATTTTTATTTTAAAATATTTTTGTTTTCATTTTTATACAAGAAACAAAAAAATATAAAAAAATTAAATTCTTTTTTAAAAGTTAATTTTCAAAAAATGAAATACGAAAAAATATTAATTTTTTAATAATTATATTTCAAAAAATATAACAAATATAAAAATAAAATTTAATCATGTTTAAGGAGTAAATAATAAAGAAGAGAATAAATTTAATTTGTCTTCAAAATTAATTTTAAAAAGGAAAAAAATATTGCTTAAATATTTAAAAAAATCTCTCTTAAATTATTTCAACTATCCAAAAATCATGGGAATGGATTTTGTGATAATTAATTTTTTAAAAAAAATTATTTCCCTTGATAAGGGGAAAAAAAAGATACCCATTGAAAATCAAATTTTCTTTCCTAATCCAATTTCTAAAAATTAGCTTTAAAAAACTAAACATTAAAAAGTATATAATAGGGAGGGTGAAACGCTGCATGTTTCACTTAGCCCTAATATCTTTTTCTTTGTGCGAAGGAGTGAAGCGAGAGGTTGCCAGCCAGGAGAAGATGCAAGCAAGCAACTTGATCTAGATGGTATAGGGCAAGAAGCAGCATGAAATCAGCGATGCAGAGAGAAAGGCAAAGAAAAGCAAAATCAAGAAGCAGAGGCGTATGGCTTAGAGAGGCAGATAGGCGTTGAATCATGATGAGGTTTGAAAATCTCAACCTCCTCTACATATATAAGAAAAACTGAGGAATCCAAACGGAGAGGGGTCAGAGTTTTAAGGGAGGTGGAAATTGGAGAGGAGCCAGAGTTTGGATGCACTCTAAGCTTGGAGAAGCAATAGAATTTGAGAGACGAAGCTCTAGTGAAGAATGATCAAAGCACTCATAGAAGAGGAGCAGGATCAAGGTAAGGAGGAAGTAGTCTAACAGGTTTCTAAATTTACCTACGTTGATGGATTCGAAAATCTTGTGTTGATTCCTGTTCTTAATTTCTAAGCAAGTTTAATGTTAAGCAAACAAATATTAGATTAATTATGGGGTTGAGGAAGCTTGAGTCACAATTATGTTGTTTAAACGTTGAAAACATCCTTTAGTTGTCAGTTGAGAATTTTCAGCCATGAGATTGATGTTTGCCTTTGCAAGGATTTGGACAATATATTCTACTTGTAGATTTTGTTAGATCTCTAATAGATCTTCTGTATGTATATACGTTGTTGGAGTGGATGGTTGGGAATTTGGCATAGGATGCTCTCTTGTTGGCATAAGTTGGTATAGGTCACTAACTGGTAACCTATAAAACCTTGCATGATGTTGTGCTTTTTTGTGGTTGAAGGTATAGTTCTATCAAATTTTAGGCTTCTCGACACTTGGGAATCAAACATTAGAGGTGCATGCTAACCTTGGAAATTTGCTGAGGTCACATCTTGTGCTTACTTGTGAAGGGTGTTTTGTATAAATAGATTTGGCATCTCTTTTTGATTGAGACACCACGCATACATGGGTACGTATAAAACTTTGACTCTTTGTTGTCCTTGTAATCCCATTTGTCTTGAATTCAAATGGGTGTTAAACTTAATTTTGGTCCTTGCATTGACACAAGTGGTGCATGGTTTATTTAGAAAAATACATTGACTTAAATATCATTGTTAGATAGCAAGTGGGCAAGGATAGAAGAAGCTAACAAGAGGCAAATGATTATGTTTGGGGATAATTTGCTTTTCAAGTACGCTTCAAATCATTAATTAAATCCAAAATATATGATAATGATAATGACAAGAGAGGATATATTTGTGTTTTATGTATTTGTTGTGAGATTTTAAGAACCCTTATAGGCATTTAGAATGATCTTATACTGTGTAGATTCATAAGATTCGTCAAGTATGAGAATCAAATTTGTGTATATTAATATAGATTCTAACAGCCCATCATTCAAATTAACTCTTTTATTATTGGAATCAACAAAAATGTCCATTAATATCATGTGAGATTTGAAAAATTTTTACAGATATTTAAATTAATCGCCTCATCATGTGAGATGATAAGCTTTAAAAGAAGTTGTGATTATTAATATAGTAAATAAATAAATGGATTTTGTAAATAAGAATATAACAAACATTTAAAAAAATAATTAATTAAATTAATGTATCTAAATTATAATCATGTTTACACAATTAGATCTTTTAGTCACATGAGATTTTTGAATTCCTGTAGATCTCTAGGATAATTGTATTACTATATAAGTTAATAAGACTTTGCAAGTATAATAATGATTGAGATTTTTCATAAAAATATAAATTATATATATACATGCATAATAAATCAATTAAATTAAAAATATATTAAAATAAATATTATCTAGTCCTTTTGTCTTATGATATTTTTGAATCTACACAGAAATTTAGGATGATCATATTATTATATTACTGTATTAGTCAATAAAACTTTACAGGTATAACGATTTAATTTTTATTGGAGTCATCCATTGACCCATCTTCATTTAATAGCTTTCTGCTCCTCTTTGGCTAGGCACAATTCTTTCCTTCACCTTCCTTTTCATTGACAAAGGAAATAAATGATTGGATTCGAGTCAAGTGTGATGAGCTAGTAGCAAGGTTACCATTAGAGTACTGGTTGAAACGATAGGCCATGCGAATGACATAACAAAAGAGAGCGCTAAAACAGGCAATGCCACAGAGAAGGAACAGACCCCAAAAACTCTTGAGCTCTAATCTGTCTATGCCTTACTTTGCACCTTCAGAACTACATGCACTTCTTGAAAGCCATTTGTCATGTATTCTTTGAAGACCACCATTCTCTGATAGCTTTAAGATTGCTATTGACATGTCTATTGCTAGAGGAGAGTCTCTTGGAAAAGCCTGTATCATAATAACGTGCACAATGCGTGACTTATGTACTCAATTCCTCAAAGTTTTGGATTAATATAATAGGTAATCATAAAGAAATCAAAGAAAAGGAACTTACAAAACCCCAACCAAATTTGGTGAACTCTTGGCCGACAATTCCAAATTCACATCTGGTTGCGAGAAAGAGCTCCATGTAAGCACGTTCATCAATGATTGCTATGACACCACCATTGGCTGGTCCATCCCTTAAGGCTTTCTCATATTCTAATGGATAATTGAGAGGCACGAGCTTAGATTTTAGAATGTTGAGCTCTTTAGTGAGGTAGTTCTCTACATATGAACCTCGATGATAGCCAACAGGCTCTTTGCTAGTTAATATGCTTTCAATTCCTTTCACAGGGGAAGAGAGCTGTTCTACTGTGAGATTGGAGGTCAGGCTTGCTATATAGCTTGAGTTCAGTATTAGGACTACGAATAGCCAAATTATTAGCACTAAACGACCAAGGGTGGTCAGAGTTCTCTCTCCTACAAACAGTCAACATGGCATATGGAAGTTTAGTAATAGTAAGTAAATAAATATTTTGAGTTTCATTAAACTTTTCTATTTTCAAAATTAATACTATGTTAGTGACATAACATATTGGCTAATGACAAGGGATCATCTGTACAAATTTAAAAACTTTGAAATGAAACTATAGTCTATCACTTACTATGTGCAAAAAATAGGGTTGAAAAGCTAAACCTGTAAAGAGATATTCCACATGTTAGTAAAAAAGTATATGTTTATTATGGGGTGCGTGTGTAAAGCATGTAGTTTATATACTATAATTTAGTGTTTTGTTAACCAAAAATAGAGCTTCAACATTTTATTCATTCCTCACCATATAATAGTCACACATTGTCTTCTAGCAGGTCCTCTAAAATCATCATTTACTCGTCGTTCTAAAATCCACACAATTGCTCCCACAACAAAGAAAGACATTCCAGTCACAAACCACATCATTGGAGTAAATGGTCTTAGGAAAGCCCAAGCATTAGAGTATGACTTTTTTATAGGAGCCACAACAACAAGCCCAGACTCAATATATGGTTGTGTGAAATCCACTATCTTTGTTCTATTTGTGGTAATGGTAATGTCACCTACCACAGCATCAAGTTCCTGCATATATAGAGGTAGAATCTCAAAATAAAATAGAACTGATAAAACCATATGAAGATGATGAGAAAGCAAAGATATTTAATGTAGTCCATAGATTTTCATTCCAATTTATTGAAAAAGATGTTGGTAATTTGTTTAGATTAGATGACTATCATTGTACGACATCATCTGTTATGCTAAGTGGCATAAAAAAATTTAAAACTTGCATCCAATAATGCTATACAATGACGACCATCAAATCAAAACAAATAGATGAGATTATTTTGACCAGATTGGATAAGATATCACAGATTGTATGGAATCCAAATCCCATATCATTCATACTTACCCCGGTCGTGACTTTGTGCAGCAGCAATTCTACACTTAATTGATTAGTTTTACTATATCTGAATGGGACAAACTTGTATGGAACTGGATAAGGCAATAAGTTTAGTGCAGCTGTGAACACATCTACACAATAACCTCCAAACATTTCAGATCCTTCGTCTCTCAACACGAATTCATTGTAACTAATTGTGAGAGGCACTCCAATTCTCAAGTGCCTTCCATTATTGGCAAAAACCCAACCGCGAGGTGTTGCAGTTGTTTGGCCAGGCCATATTACCCCATAAAGCCCTTTACTTGAGTTTGAATAACTAGGTGCTTGTCCAGTGTGTAAACTACTAGAATTAGACCAGAAGCCAATCGTCCTAACCCCAGTACCAATCACATTAATGATCTCATATGCAAGATTCATAAGCTCACCATCTGGACTAAACATTATTTGACCTGTTAAACCAGTTCTATTGACCTTCATAGTTTCTTTCAGCAATGAACTACCATTAGTAAAGACCCTTATGGAATTTAGGTCTAATCTATCCCCATTTAGCTTGTTCAGACTTGAATCATTTGAAAATGATAAATTCCCTCCATTATTGAAAAATGAATCAAGTGCAGATGCAAGGACCCAAACAGTGTCATAGGCATACAAGCCATAAGTGTTCCACATGAAAGGACTTTGATTAGGAGCTTTCTCCTTTACTAAATTACTCCACCTCGAAGTGAATTTTTTTTTTCATTTTAGAATCAGGTGTGTACATTCTCAAGGTGATAACACCTTGGAGGTCATTCATATATGAAGATGACTCGGATGGATCAGTATCTAGTACAGTAGAAAGCCAATCAGTGGCTAACCAAACATACCCACTTTCCATCATGTTTAGTGTCTTAGCCACATGAAGTACATCTAGACCAAAACTAGGGTATATGTGGAGGACTATAACCCTAGACTCCCTTATAATGACCTTAGCTAGTGCACTGTTTATCTCTTCCCTATTTATGTTATTAGGCCTAAGAGGGGCTTTATATGAGATCTTACAATGTTTCTCTGCTAGCTCATCCTCTAATGCAGCTATCCCATTTCTTCCATGATCATCATCGACGTAGATTGCTATCAAATCTCTCCATTGATAGTAGTCAACAATATCTGCCACAACAGCCATCTGAAACTTATCACTCTTTGTTGTCCTAATGAAATATGGGAATTGAAGTGAATTCAAGGTAGGGTCTGTTGCTGCAAATGATAGTAAGGGTACTTGTAGCTCATTGGCTATGTGTGAAATCACATGAGCCATCACAGAGTATTGAGGGCCAATTATGGCCACTATGTCTTCCTCCATCAGTAATAATGCTGCCAAAACAAGTAAACCCACATAGCCATTAGGAATTTGAACCCATTTTGGCAACTAAAATGTCTAATGAAAGAGAAAGAGAGATGGTGAGATTTACTTAGATATTTTATATTTATGCATGCATATGCATAAAATATCTAAGGAGCTAGTTGTTGATAAAATACAATGATATAATATGATCCATGTAACTAACCCTACTTAGTTAGATGAGATTTGTTGTTATTGTTTTTTTATATTCAGGCATATATACATTTGAAAATGCAATAATAGGTGGGATTCATATCTCCTTCTTATATTTATCATATCTTTTATCTTAATCTCTTTTTACATTATAAATATTGACAGAAGTGAATAGAAAGAATTAAAATTTAAAATCAACGTTGATAGTTAGATCTTTCCATTCTATTGCTCTCTTTTCACTGGACCCTCCAGAGTTCTAGTATGATGCAAAAGGACAAAAAATTATAGTTTGAGAAGGACTTACAATCAATGATGCCAAGAAACCCAGTGGAGAATTCAGTGTCCTGGAATAAAATATTGAGTTTAGTTCCATTAAGAACTGATTGATTGGAGTTTATATCATCCTTTGCTGCATCAATTGCAACTTTTGCAACTTTGCCAATGGTTGAATTGAAAGATAAAATCGCCCCAATGTTGACAGAACTGGGTCTTGTAGGAAACCCATTTGAATAAATGCCACAGCAGAAAATCACAACAACAAGAAGCCATATTTTCTGCATGTTGTGCTGTTTGGGAAACACACGAACAAATCAAACTTGCAACACATGTCACAATTAAATTGAAGAACACTGAATCATGAAAGAAAAGAACAAACAAGTATTGTGATGAGAATAGACACTAAACACATCAACTTTTGCAAGGTGAATGCATGTATGAGTGTTTATGTTGCACAGGTACGAGTATTGGATACGATACTCGTATCATGATATGACAATATAGAAAATTTTAAAAAATTTTAAGATACAGGTACAAGAATATATAAAAGATTTTATATAAATGTAATTAACAATTCAACTATTAAAACTGTGCATAGCAATTTAACAAAATGCAAAATGACCAAAGTGACATAACATCATAGGAGAGTTCTATTTTTTTGTAGCTCATTTAGAGAAGAATAATGAGCTATTGAATTAATACTTCATCTAAAACTACTAGTTGCAGCCATATCTAATTAAAAAAAGAAAAGATTGAAATAAACTAAAATAAAACAGGACCAGAACCATTGAGAATCATAGTCAAACTAAGTCTAAAATAAAAAAGTGAGCAACAGGTTCTGCGCATATGGAGAGCAAGATATTAAATTAATAATATAAAATATTAGTCAAACTTTCAAAAGAGCAGCAACATAATAAAATAATAATATGGTTCAGTCTCAGGCTACCACAGCAGGCAGATCGAGAAGACGAGTGAGATATTGCAAAAAGAACTCAAGGTGGCAGAGAAGAGAGAAGACGAGTGAAGGACGAGAACTTGGACTGGAACGACGAGCTAAGCAACCACAGAAGATAGAACGAGACGCGACTCGCGAGTTGAGAATGGACGGGTTCACGACGGCGCAACTATGAATTGTCTTTCTTTATTTCTCCTTACTTCCTTCTTTACTGTCCATTTATTGATTTATTGTAAACTTTTGTGATCAGCAAATTATAACAGGAAATCTAAAGGACCACTTGCTGAGTCTGGAATGGTTGGATAACAGCTGCTTGTGGTCTGATTGTTCTTATGATTGCCTTGTGTGCCTATTGTTTTCGGATAAGAAAAAAAAGAGGTGGATATTTTTTCGTTGCATTTCATTTATTTTCTTTTTAATTCTTTTGGTAAACTTTTCTTTTATTTCTCTTGGACAGAGGTTATGGTTTTGGGAGTTAGACTTTTATTTTAAGTCCTAAAAAAGAATTGACGAGAGTTAAATTGCGGATAAAATTTTTTAAGAAATAAATTGCAAAAATCTATTTAAAAATTATTGTTAATTCAAGTGTTTTAACCGTAAATAAAACATTTAAATTTTAAATATTTTTTTATTTGATAATTTAAATTCTTGTTTATAAATATTTGAATTAATATTTACCAATAATTTTTTAAAATAAGTTTAATGATAATCTAACTATGATTAATTTCCTATTACAGGCTTTAAAGTCATTCTCCCTATGATTTTTATATTTTTATTTTGTAAAATATGGGGAAAATGATCAGTGAAAAAGAACTGGTGGTAGGATAGTCTGTCAAAAAAAAGTAAAATAAAAAATAAAAAATAGAGATAAAATAGCGGGTTATAGCTTGGGTCCATCTTTTGCTCATTAGACTAACGAGCACCATCATGCTTATCAATGTGATGAGATTTGAATTTATTAGATTTTGATCTAAAAGTCTCAAATTTAAAATATTATTTTATATTTATTGAAATAAAAATTTTAAAAATTAAAAAATTAACAAATTCTTTTATCATCAATCCAATTTAATATTAAAAATTTTATAATTATTATATATTGACTATTCAAATGTACTCTATACAATCAAAATTTAAAATTTTAAGCTTGTAATGTTTTAAAAAAATATCATAAAAAAAGTTATATGTTTTAATTTTTAATATTATATTTATCAAAATAAAAATTTACAAAAATTATTATAAAAGTTTTAATATTAAATATGGACTGTACAAAGTACTATGGAAGTCAATATATGAGAATTATAAAAAATTTAATATTTAATTGAACGCTTCAAATTAAAATAGACCAGATCGATAATAAAAATTTATTAAAATTTGTTAAAATTTTTATTTTAATAAATATAAAATAATGTTTTAAATTTAGACTATCTAGCACACAATATTTATCAATATGATGAGTGTTAAAGATGAGTTCGGGTTTCATGCGGGTGTTATCGAAGTAAGAGAGATCATTGGTATCATTCATTTTCTCTATCTTTCTTTTGATTTCAATAAAATTACTTTATGAATAAAAATATACATGTTTTTGGGGAACAAGGATGCTTCTTGCCTGAGGTTGGGGTAAATAGAAAAAACATAAATAATAATAGGTTAAAATATAATTATTATTCCTTGATTAGCATGTTTCGGTACTAATTCTATTTTTTTTTCACTCCTAATATCTTAAAGTTTTCTATCTATCTAGAACACTAGCTTTTATCATTATTGACAAAACTAAATTTATTGATTTGTATATAACTTTGTTAATTATGTTGCTGAGTTGAAAATTAAGATGAGTTAGTGGATATTGTATGAGTAAAATGACTACTAATCATTTTACTTTTCTACCCTATCTATGGCATTTTCTTTCTTATGAAGCTTTGCCTATCATGTGTTTAAAGGTTTTGATTTAATATTCTCCTTGATTCTTTATACCTTCTATTCTTTTGTTATACAACTTATCATAATTTTAACAAGTTAATATGAAAAGCAATGGAGTTTACATACATCTTAGCCACTATTAAGTCATTATAGACATATTTAAAAATATAAAAAATTAATGTTGCATACGGATGAAACTTAAAGAACTAAGAGCAATGGAAAAAAAAAAATACATGAACTAATATCAAAACACACTAAACTTTAAAGTATAGAGACTAGCCAGTAGTTGCATTTTCTATCATCATCATCATCATAAATTGCATCCCACTAATATTTGAAAAAATAACAATTAGATTTTAAAAGACTGAATTAATGACAATTAAATTTTCAACAAAATTTTCTGAAAAAATAATTGAAAATATTCTTGAGCGTAACTATTTAAATATTCAATATTTATAACTTATTTTTTTTCAAGACAATTTCATCAAAAACTGAAATTTCATTAATTCAATTTTTAAAACCTAACTTTAGTTGTCTCCTAACGTTTGTGTGCTTGCGAGTTCTGATTGTCTTGTCCTCTCTCTTTTTTTCTTCCTTATTTGAGTTTGGTAATTTAATAGTTGGTTGATGTTGAAGTAAGTTTGAGGAAAAGTTAATCTTTATTGTCTTTGTTGCGAGGTTGGGACAGGCCAGTCTCAATTTGTGCCCCACCCTGAATCTAATACGTCCAAAAAACTGTTGATGATGATGATAGCATTGGAGCATATAAAAGATTGGCAAAAAAAATAGTAGGAGGAGAAGAAGAAAAAGATTTGAATATAAAATGATATTTATGTACAAACTAAATTTAAAAAAAATATCGACTTGTTTGTAAGTTTCATATTGGAACATATTGGGACAGGCTAGTCTCAATTTGTGCTCCACCCTAAATCTAATACCTCCAAAAAACTGTTGATGATGATAACATTGGAACATATAAAAGATTGGCAAAAAAAATAGAAGAAGAAGATGATGATGAAAAAGATTTGAATATAAAATGATATTTATGTGCAAACTAAATTAATAAAAAATATCGAGTTGTCTGTAGCGAGGTGGGACAGGCTAGTCTCAATTTGTGCCCCACCCTGAATCTAATACCTCCAAAAAAACTGTTGATGATGATAGCATTGGAACGTATAAAAGATTTGCCAAAAAAAAAAACAAGAGAAGAAGAAGAATATTTGAATGTAAAATGATATTTATGTACAAACTAAATTAACAAAAATATCAAGTTGTCTGTAAGTTTCATATTTTGATATTTGCAATTAAAATATATAATTACATATTGATAGCGTCAAAATGCATATTATTAAAAGAAAAAAGTGCTATTTGAAATTTAGTCAAGTTTTTTTCACAAAACGTAGCGTCTCACATAAAAGTCATGTTTGCCGTATCGAAGTCATGAAGGTCTAGTCATGTCAAAAGTCAAAAGACTTCTACAAACATGCAGAGGGACATCAAATATTATAACATTAAAATTATTGTGAGATATTTAGTGGGTTGTGTCTGATACATATTAAACACAGATACATCATCAAAATCGACATATCCAAGCTTCTGAGCTGGCTGTTGTTTATGAATATGTCACAATGCAGTGGCATAAGTCCTTTATATAGGAAGTGGCCAAGCTAAGGTCATGAGCTATGACCTGCTTTGTGCTCTTATGTGATGCTTTTCTAAGTCACTCCATCATTTGAAATCAATATAGAAATCAATTATATCAATACAACTAATATATCAATACACAACTAGTAGAATGAACCTAATTGGCCACGAATCTTTTCATTTTGAATGGTTATTACACTGTTAAAATATTAATTCTCCCCCCCCCCTCCTCACTGGTCCATTCCATTTATTACGCATCCCAATTTATTGCTTCATTTACCGCCTTCAAGGGAGGTGGCCTCCTGATTTCAGATTTCTAATGTATAATTCAAAATTCACACATTAACTCCACACATTAACTCCAACCCCCTAACCCAGACCATTGTAGGCTTTGGGAAGAGAAACTCTCCCCAATTGATTGGGTGAAAACCATCACTGAGATGTCCCCCAAATGAAATTCCTCTGGACTTTTCCAATTTTATTAAAAATAGTAATGGATAATTTAGAGACTTGCATAGGGAATAGCGGAATGGCACTGAGAATAAATTTAGCTAGGGTGATTCTGCTTGTCGTGGAGAGACAACTTGGTTCCAACCAACTAGTTTGCTCTTGAACCTCTGAACGATGTATTGAAAGTGCTTTGTAGACTTTAGACTTTAGGTGATAGGGAAGCCAAGATAGCTGCCTATTTCACTAAACATATGCATAACAGTGATAGATTTGATCTCCCCTTTTAGTGCAACAGGAATGTTCTTCGAAAAGAAAAGAGAAGATTTCGCCAGACTAATTTTCTCCCCTAATGCATTGCAAAAGAAATGTAAACAATTCATCATAATAAAGGCCTGCTCTTCAGAAGCTTCACCAAATAGCATAATATCATCAGCAAACATGAGATACGAAATTGTTGGACCTGTGGATGTTATGTAGATTGGCTTCCAAGTACCATTGTAGATTGATTATATGTCGCACCTCGGTACTAAAAGTATGATTGATATAGAATATGAGATAAACTCACATTTCATAAGCTTTAATTATATAAGATTAAGTTAAAATATCGATAACTAATTTATATATATAATTATAAGGTTCGAAAAACAATCTTAAATATTCTGCAGAAATGTTGGCAAATTTTTCATTGTAATTTGGATATTTCAAAATTTCTATAATAATAAAACTTGTTAGCCAATTCAGCAAAGGAGCTTAGCTCCACAATAGGAGATTATATATCAGCAAAATAAAATTAGAATCTAACTATGGTATACATGAAGCACTAACTACTATTGTATACTATAATGAAAATTTACATTTAAATAAATGATTGAAGCATGCTTGTGTCTTCCAAGAAGCAATAAAACCCGTCAATTATCAGCAAGAGGTACAAAGTCAACTATATTATCTGAGACCGAAAATTTTTTTTGATGAGTCGTGTCCCGATCAAATTATAGATAAAATATGTAAAAATAGTAATTAATAATATTTAGTTTAAAATAAATCAATGGAATATTAAAACATATATAACTAACAATAAATGCAAAAGTTGCTCAATAAATAACT